CGTAATCGATATCCAAAAGATCGAATGTAGCCATTTGGGGCCACGCCGCACTAAAAAATCGGCCCCAAACACCTTAAAATGAAATAAGCAAATGAGCTTTTCTCCGGGAACGTTCGCCTGCAACTCTCCTCACCAGGCGAGGATTAGAATGATCAAATCGCTTAAAATCCCCCTTGGGAATTGGTTCATGGCACCTCCTACTCGATTCCGGTTCCTCTGTACGCTGCGAAGCACTACTGCAACCCTCACCGTTCTCCCCACCGACGGTGCAAACCCCGCCGAGTGCCACCTGAAGCACTTAACGAATCATCTCCGGTATGGATGGACGGAGGCAGCCCTAAAACTGGCCAAAACCCTAATTCATTCCCATCGGGATCTCTTCCCTTCTCCCATCCATCTCTATCAATCACTCGCCATGAACTGCCCCGCAGTCTCCTCCCAAGCTGCCTCTCTGGTTGTTTCAGCCTGTGCGCAACTCCGCCTTGGCGATGAAGGCCTCCATCTTATATCTCTACTGTCCACCGATCGCCGGGAACACTTTCCCTCTATCTTCTCTTGCAAACAGTTCCTGGAGACCTTAGTTTCAGACCGTCGCTACTCCGATGTGTTATCTTTGTTCTCCCAGATTCTTACAGTCGGTGTTCGACCCGATATTTTCACCTACAATAAAGCAATTGAAGCGACCGTGAAGATGGGAGACGTGTATGGAGCGCTTCAATTGATGAACCAGATGGATAAGAATGATGGGATTCATCCAAATGCTTTCACTTTCAATGTTTTGATTTCCGGTATGTGGAAGGAGCGGCGGACAGAAGATGCTAAAAAGCTGTTCGATGATTTGCTGAAGCGCAAGGTGTTACCGAATCTTGTTACCTACAATACAATGATCGATGGGTATTGCAAGATTGGGGATTTAGATGAGGCTTTTAGGGTTCGGGACCAAATGAGGGATGGTCTTGTTGAGCCAAATGTTACCACATTCAATTCTCTGCTTTGGGGACTGTGTCATGCTGGTAGGATGGATGAGGCTGAGGATTTGTTGGTGGAAATGAAAATCAAAGGCCTGACTCCTGATGGATTCACTTACAGTACTCTTTTTACAGGGTATTTGAGTTCTGGTAAGAAAAAAAACTCAATTGATCTTTTTGAAGAGTGTGTTAGAAATGGCGTGCAGCTTGAGCCACATTCCTGTGGAGTTTTGCTGAGTGGACTTTGCAAGACTGGAAATGTCTCGAAAGCAGTGGAGGTCCTGGGAAGGATGATGAACATGGGTTTAGTTCCAACTACTGTAATATACAATTCTATCATAGATGGTTACTGCAGGATTGGGGATATGCATGGAGCCTTCTCAGCATTAAAGACGATGAAATCTTTGGGATTGAAGGTTAACCACATAACATACAACTCACTGATTAATGGAATGTCCAAGTTGCAGAGGATGGCAGATGCAGAGAAGTTACTGGAGGAGATGAAAGAGAACGGGGTGTCTCCTACGATAGAGACGATGAACACTTTACTTGATGCATATTCTCGAGCCGGTCAATTCACAAGATGTTTTGAGATTATTGAGGAGATGGAAGAAAAAATGTGTCTCAAACCTAATGTTGTCTCTTATGGATCTCTAATAAATGGGTTTTGCAAGTGTGGAAAGCTTCATGAGGCAGAAGCTATCTTTGAAGATATGTTGATCAGAGGTATCAAGGTTAATGAAAAGATATACAACATGCTTATTGATGCATACAGTACTAATGGCAATTTGACGAAGGCCGACATGTTAATTCTTGAGATGAAGAAGGTTGGTGTTTGTCCAAGCATTGTTACATATAATTCTCTCATTAAAGGTCTCTGTGGAAGAGGACGCTTGTCTCGCGCTGAAGAACTAATCAGCGAGCTAAGAAATGAGGGTGTGAGCCTTGATGTCATCACATACAACACATTGATGGCTGCATATTGCAATTCGAACGATATTCAGAGAGCTATTGATTTATTCAAAGAGATGGAAAAGGTTCAAATCAAACCCAATTTGGCCAGTTATCAAATTTTGGTAAGTAAAATGTGCATGGATGGAAGAATACAGGATGTTGATGATCTATATCAGGACATGTTACAGAATAACATTAACCTTGACAAGCATCTGTATAGCATTATGATATCTGGTTATGCCGGAATCGGAAATCAGTCTATGGTGCTTACCCTGCAGGAAGAGATGAAGAAGAGTGGAATAACCCTTGATGAAATGGGCCATAATTCCATTGAAGAAAGCAGGGGTGCTGAACGCCAGATATGAGTCAGGGTCCAATGTGAAGTTTATATGCTGATAACATATAATTTCATGCATGTTAGTGCCTCATGAGCTTGTTTCCAATGCCTCTATTATCCATTCTGATACTTGACTATCGTGATACTTGGATTATGAGGAGAATGGTTGGAGAAGTACTTGCTCTCTTAGGTACCATTTGGGGCATTTTTTTACGTGTATCACGTTTTCAAAACGCCGACGGATTGTTTGATTATTGCGTTCGGTGGGCGGATCTGGAAACGCGCGGGCGAGATAGGAGTTATTTTTGAATGATCGCGGTCGCGGGATCGACTATTCAGTCCGAGTTTCTTTACAGATAATTACCCTGCCGCCCTTTCAATCTCGAACCCGCGTCTCTCTCCTTGCCCTAGCTCTGCGATCAATCTCCCTCCCCAACACCTCTCCTGCCCTTAGCATTGCTTTTCTTATCTCCCTTGTCACTCGGTGCTCCGGTTATGTTTCTCTGTAAGTTCCAACTATTTTTGGCTTTGTGTTGGAGTTCATTAAACGTAGTTCGGGACATACGCCGTATGAATTTTAAAATGAATATTATCATTTAAAAAGAATGCTAATTATTTTTGTCCTTTTGTAGTGTACTGTTGATACTCGCTGTTATGTGAGGTGTGTATCTTATTTTTTCGATTATTTTGAAGTGGCTTTTTACTTCTCAAAATGTCAAATATCTATGACAGTGATTATTTTGAAGTGGCTTTTTACTTCTCAAAATGTCAAATATCTATGACAGTTCTCTTGCAAACAATAGTTCTGCAATGAAGCGGAATGATTATTCATCCACAATCAACTGCAAATCAACTGTTTTTCAATAACACAAACTAAACAACCAACCAGCTTATCTGGATCAGCTTATTCATCCACAATCAACTTCAAATCAGCTGTTTTTCAACAGCACAAACTAAACAACCAACCAATTTATCTGGATCAGCTGCTGATCAACAACTTATCTGAATCAGCTGCTTATGATCAATAACTTATCTGAATCAGCTGTTTATCAACAGATTGACAATAAGTTGCAGCTACCCCAAACATCCCCTTAATCAAGGGGAAATGTTAGTTGCCGGTCATCGCTATATGGTCAAAACTTATACTTTTGAGATTCTATAGAAGATTCTATTAGAGCAAGTAAACTTATATAGTTGATAACACAAAATGATGCTCTACTTTCACTAAACAAGGAACAAATGGGACTTGCCCTAGATTGCTTCTCTTATGCTGCCAAATACAAAAGCAGGAATTTTGTTCTTTGATCTACCTATTTGAATCTGCCCAGGCTCCCCATAATTTTTCCGTGGATAAGCAGCTATGGCCTTTTAAAATTAGGTTTTTTATTTGAAAGGGTTGATAATTGAAGCGAGTTTGGAGTTGTAAAAATCTTTTATTTTTTGTCCATGATAAGTTTTGTTTTGCTTGATGTTGTAGCTGTGTTTGTTAAGTTTGTTTTCTTTTCTCAGTTATGTGGACTTGTGTAATATTAGCATTTTAATATAGACTAGAAAACATGAAGCCCTTGGTCTATTTGAATTATTAGAAGCTATGATAATATAATCTTTGGTATTTTTTAAGAAAACATTTAATCATTATAAATGTACGTAATTTCTTGTTTATCATTTCGTCCTTGCACGAACATAATGATTAGGGTGTGAACTTAGCTCGAAGATTGTTAATCTTTTGAAAATTCATTTGAATTTTGGCTCTGATCAAGATCATATCGAAATAAAGGAGTGGAGCTAGGAGCTGAAATTTTGAATCGAATAATAATGGGGATATGCAAGTCTCATTAAATTTTATAATAATTCAACTATGGATCAAGCATATGAAAGTATTATAAATTATAATAATTCAAATGATGCAAAATAGTACATCAAGAGTATTAATGTAAATGTGCATCTGGACTTCAATCACAATACGTTACGTGTACGGTCCGGTCCCTACTAAATACAAAAAATTAAATAGTTTAATGAATGGCGGGGTCAGAACGTACATATGACGCATAGTGATCGGAGTACTGATTCAGTTTTGCATCAGGATTTCTGATGTAATATTTTTTCCACCACTACACCTTCACACGCCATATCATCATATAAAGATTCAAGCCAACAACCAATTTCCAAATTGAAAATTTTTTATTTAATTTAAAGGTCGCCTTATATTTAATTTTAACAAATTTATAGTTAAACCAAACATTTACACAATGTAAACTTAATAACATAAATAAGTGTTGCGTCTAGCTCCAAATGAACTAAAATCAAATTGTTAAAATATGATCGGTGAATTAAAACGATTATTCTAAACTCAACACAACAAAGCTTTAGCTCATCAAATCAAAGACAATAACAAAAATAGTTGACCAGCATTTTAGCCTCTCACCGTTGCCCACAAATAGGTCAAGGATTTCGGATGGATGATAAGCATTATAAATGGTTGCTTACACTCAATTTTATGACAACTTATGGTTTCACTAAAGAGCTCCTTTCATTTGAGGGGGAAACAATTGGTTATTGTATTTATATGTTATTATGTGGAGTCAGATTATGCTTATCAATTGGAATCTCAAAATCCTTAATTTTCCCGACCAAGTCCGACAACGAATCTGCCCGTTGGGAGGTGGGAGGTGCGCCCCATAGATTGGGTTTGGAAGTAGCCCCCCCCCCACAAAATTTTTTTTTTTTTTTTTTCTGTTCGTAGCACCTCAGTGCCATACTAGGGTTTACCCTAAACCCATACTAGCAGCACCAAAAAGATGGAGTCATGACGCTCAAAAGATGGCACCACATCCAGATGCAGAACTCGAGAGCACTACACTTGAACGTCTGAAAGTTAGCGCTCATTGGGGAGCTGCAGCACCATACCACAACACTGGGGCCCAATAATTGACTTTAGATAGTCTCCACTTAAAGTTACGGTTTCATTGATTGTAATGTGTGGATTTCGATTTTCTCTTCTGCAAGAGAGAGGATAACAACATTCTAATGTTTTCAAATATATATTTTTTTTTTTTTGTGTAGCGTGGGTAAATGATTTTTTCTCGTATTTTGGTTTTTGCACATTAAATCTTTTTTTTTTTTTTTAATTTTTCTTATTTTATGTGCTTGTTTTCAAATTGTTAGATTTGATTGTGGTTAATTTGTACAGTTCTTCTCATTTTCTTCATAATGATTTTTTTTTTTTTGTAGCGTGGGTACATGATTTTTTCTCGTATTTTGGTTTTTCCACATTAAATCTTTTTTTTTTAATTTTTCTTATTTTATGTGCTTTTGTTCCAAATTTTATTTCAAATTTCTCAAATCAATTCCCGCTGTTTAATCCCATCTCTCCCAAGATTATTGTGTGAAAAACTTTTTGTTTTAAAGTTTTTTTCAGAAATTTTTTTTATAATTATACAGTTGTAAGAAAACTATTTTTTTTTACTTAGAAAATTTTTAAAAAGTAGCACAATAATGTT